TCTCACCCCGCCCCCCATTCATCCCGCATCACTTTTGGAAGTCCCCTTTCTGTTGCGTTCTCTCAACCCCATTCCTCTGACCGTGGGGAGCCCCTGGAAGGCATCTCCTTGGCTCTGGGTCCCTAGGCGGTCTTTTGCAACTTGGCCGAAGGGAAGCCGGTGCATGGGAAATGCAGCGAGTGCGCAAGTTGCTTCTTGCGTGGTGAACCTTAATGTGATTGCGGGAAGGTTGTAACGAGAATAGTGGTAATGGGCTGTTTCCTCGCATTTCCTACCCATTTTCATTTTCACCTGCTGTTGGGATTGAGGCGGGGAGAGGTACTCCAGCAACACAGGCGGCTGGTTAGGATTTTTCAAAACACTTGTCACTATACTGGACAAGTGAAATAGAATCACGTTCGATACCTTGATGGATGGAAATCACGGAGGACAGAAAGCTGCCCTTAGAAGGGAAAGGAAAAAAGGGAAATTGGAAAGTTGCCAACACCTGCATCTCTCTATGGCAAAGGATTTTTGCTCATTTTAAAGTTACAAGAAAAGGGAATTATCCATTATGTAAAAGGATCAATCAACATTTCGCCTACATGAATTCAGCACTCACCTTATCTTCGAAGTGTTCATAGGTTTGTTTCAGAGGGGCAACAGCTAGGCAGAGGACAGCCGAGAAGGGGCAGAGATGATGAGGGTCAGAATGAACACCCCCCCTTCATTTAGTGACACATGTCCATTTTCCTCCCCACCATCATACTTTAGAAGTATAGACATGGCACTAGCTGAGCATGTGAACATCAGACACCAAGCTAACTGCTAATTCTTGTACAAGCCTTACTTACTGAGTTAGCCTTTCCACGTTATTTGACTGTGGCGGTCGTTTGCTTTACTGTAACTCCACTTTTTACCTGCTGGTATTTAGAAAACTTTGCAATGAACAGTATTTGCATTTTAGTATTCATGTATTTATGGTATACGTATGTGTGTGTGTCTTTGTTCTTTACCCCACTTCAGCTCCGCATTGGAATGAAACTGCAGAAAAAAATTCAGGAGACCTGGCAGATGAAGACCATCCGCTGCAACAGAACAGCAGCAGTAATATCAGCCACAGCAATGCGATGCAGAAAGAAATCACGCTACCATCAAGACTCATATATTACATCAACCAAGACTCTGAAAGCCCCTACCATGTTCTTGACACAAAGGCAAGACACCAGCAAAAACATCGCAAGGTAGGCAGGAACCTAGGGATGCAAAAGTAGTTGCCAGGAAGAGTTTGCCTTTGATTTGATTTTCTGCCAGAATTGGATTTCACAGATTTTACTGCATCATTTTATTAGGAAAGCAATTAATACTGTTACAGGGGCGATACCAGAGGGAATTAAGCTGGAATTGACTGGGAGAGGATTGCATTTTCTTTCTATTTTCTCACTCTAAACTGGGAATTGTAATTTTCATGTGGCCTTGTAAAGTTTAACAGCTGAAACGTGATCTATGTATCTTCCCGGTGCGTTGGACACTGACCAATAGTTAAAAGTGAATATAAAGTGAATAGTTTAAGTGAATAGGCTACCAGCTTGGTTCTGTGAAGACTTATGTAAAGATGTAGAATTCTAACTTCTATTAGATAGTAATTTGCTCTCAATCTGCGTACTTAGGTTTTAAATTTTTTTTTTTTTTTGCTCTAAGGGGCTATGTGGCTGAGAGTTCCCCATTGGTCTTTCACTGAAAAATTGAGTCCTTAAGTTTAAACAACCTTTGGGGTAAAAAAACAACAACCCAACAAAACTTGTTTTCATTGTATTATCAACCAGTAAAGTAGTTGGCATTTTCATGGCTTATGGTAAATAGAAACAAAATTATTTCCATAACAGAGAAGCCAGGTTTGGTTAGCATAATCCTTCAGGACTTAATCAGCTGGTGCATGAGAAGTGACTTTACTTTCAAGATGGTTCTGAAAGCAGCACTGCTCTTAAAAGGACCTTCAAAGCAAGATGAAGGTCCTTAATATCCAAAGTTTAAATGGCCCTTGCTTCTGCATTCTGCTCTTTATTTCAATTAATAATATCTTAGACTCAGAACAGGTTTGCATGATGGGTTATCAGTGCCTCTTATCAGAGACAGAATATAAAGCTTGCATGCCAAAGATTTCATTTTGAACTGGGCTTGTTCAGTTGAGAAGAGCAGTCAGTAACTGTCTAAACTTCTAAAATGTAAGAAAAGTATCTGTGATTTCCACCTTCTCCCCGACCCCCCTCGTGGCGCCCCCCCCTCCCGCCCCCAGAAGATAAATTATAACACTATTTCTCCACTTATCCACCTATATGGT